AGAGAACACGATACATATCATGACTGTTACTGACTCAGAAAGCATGCTGAGGAAGGTTAGGAAAAACATGCTTCGAATATAGTGGCATGCTTCGGTTCGGAGGTCACGGGTGAGGAGCATTGTCTCGGTTTTTTTTTTTCTTCGGGGTTTGCCGGTGTGTTGGGAAACAAACATACGGACACGCTGACTGGCCTACACGACTTAGTGGAATACTGATGGATGTTAAGGCTGACGTGTTCCAGGTCTTAAGTGAGCAGTGGACAGTTCTGAAGAGCAAACGGATCATGACAGTATGGTGAGAGTGATGCAGCGAGGAGTGAAGAGGGGATCTGGCCGATAGTTGACGCTCAGAGGAAAGGCAAGACGGACGTTTATTCAGACTGCTCCTGGGGCACGATTGGTATTGGAACTCAGCGCTGGCTGCTAGATAAGGGGAAGGGGCGCTTGTGGTAATGCCTCATGTGCTGTGATGTCGGCTCTTGAACCACCTCAGCTCAACTTAACACACGCAATAGCACAATTTTCCCCTTATCGCAATGTTCAGGCGCGATTTTTTTTAACAAAGATTTAGCAACTTGCGGACTTCGGCTATTGTCTCATTTAAAGTACCTACATTACCATTTAGGAGCATTCCGTGGTGTAGCGGCTAAATGCTCCCCTGCGTATCCGAAGGTTGTGGGTTCGCGTCCTGTGGAGCCAGTTTCTTTTTTTAATGACTTTTGCTGCTAGGTCAACCCAGCCTTTAATCGGTACCAGGTATAGTTTTGGGATTTTTTCACATCACCATTTAAGTTTAGTGTTTATACTTTTTTAAGACTATATTTGTTAATTAAACAATCAGTATAATAATTGGTATAAGAAGTGGAGACAAATGAAATTTAATGTGTATGGGTTATTCTGTGCAGCAAATTCAAGCATATGAAGACGCAATGAGACAACAGAGACTCAGCGGCTGGGTAAGCATTTCAATTTTATTTTTTTATATCGTTTCACGATAAATATTACAGTTGAAGATAGAATTGTTTGATACAGATGATGCTGGTGAAGAAAGCGGTGCATTAGGAGCAAGAGAAGCGTTGTACTCTTGTATAACCCCTGTGTATACTATGGCACTTATTTATATTAGTTCATAAAATGTCTATGTTTTCGCATCGATACTCCTTAGTATCTGTAAACAACCAAGTATGAGTCTAGAGTGACTACGCTAACATGCCGCTGGATCTCTCCTTGATGGATGTGCTGCAGTCCTGCATAATATAACAACTAGCGCACTTGGCACAGCACCATCAAATACAGTTGTGACTATCCTGACGGTTCAAAAATAACACCTTGTGACAGGCCACATAAACTTTAATATCATTCACATTACACGTCACTAGATGATAGTGATTAATATAGGTACGATAATAAGTCAGTATTATCTACACGTACAATATAAACAATTACAAACTTCACTCAATGGACTTCTGCCATTATAAACTAAATAAACATCACACTGTCTCCCGCAAACAGCGGCAAATCAAAAACCTCACAAAGAGAAAACGTTTCTATAATTATCCTCATAAAGAGAAATAGCTAACACGGCGTTTCCGCTAACCCGCGGCAAACACACGTCCGTCGGACGCTAGCAAAATCTCAACTGACTGTCCCTCCCCAGAATTCAATCAAGTTGAATAATTACCTTCGCCTAGGTAACGACTTGTGGCCGCCGTGTGACCTTTACCTGTGCTCTTCCTGCTAATTGACATTTTAACTCTCGGCCAAATTAGACACAACAAGGGGATGCAACAACAACAACAGGAATATCAAATTTAAGATAACTGTAACAATACACAGACAAGCAGAAAAGCGCCTACTTCCATCGAAGAAGCTGTTTCCAGAAGAAGGCAAAGAATATCATTGAAGGGTATGGAGAGAGATAAGGCACAACTACTCGAAGCAGATTAAAAACCGTAAAATCATTTAAGAAATAAGACATAGACATTTGGGGTTTCCCCCCCCCCCCCCCCCCCCCCCCCCCCCCCCCCCCCCCCCCCACCCCCCCCCCCCCCCCCCCCCCCCTTTCCCTACATGTGACGAGGAAGAATGGATTTGACAGCTTGTTTTGTTAACCATTGAGAAAAGTTGATGGGGAAAGATCAGTAGGAAGGTAAAGAGAGATAAATACCTAGACGGCTTAGTCGTATGGAATGAGAGATGGATGGATGAGGCCAGGCAAGAACACTGACCTAATCCTTGATTCTGGTGATTATGTGAGATTGCTAAACGTGATAGCCTACGCATATCTGCACGACACATGATGACTATGATGATGATGAATACTATGATGATGATGATGACTACGATGATGATGATGACTATGATGAGGATGATGATGATGATGATGATGATGATGATGATGACTATGATGATGACTATGATGATGATGACTACGATGATGATGATGACTATGATGATGATGATGATGACTGTGATGATGATGATGACTATGATGACTGATAATGATGAATATGATGACTATGATGATGATGATGATGACTGTGATGATGATGACTATGATGATAATGATGATGACTATAATGATGATGATGACTGTGATGATGATGATGATGATGACTATGATGATGATGACTGATGATGATGACTATGATGATGATGATGACTATGATGATGATGATGATTACTGTGATGATGATGATGATGACTATGATTATGATTAAGATGACTATGATGATGATGATGACTGTGATGATGATGACTATGATGATGATGACTATGAGGATGATGACTATGATGATGATGATGACTATGATGATGATGATGACTATGATGATGATTCGGTAGCTGTACAAGAAATTCAATATGTGCCACAAATTTACTGGGCATAATTTTCACCTACAACCATTCTGTCCCAACTAATTGTCCGAACGGTTGCAACGCTGAGCTTTTAATCGGAAGTCCAGGGTTCGAATCCTCCGTAAGGCTCGGGATTTTTTTTCTCTCGGACGCAAAATAAAATCCTCACATAAACAGTCTCATAGGTGGTAATAAAGGCAGTTATTTGCATTTTTTTTTTCTTTTCTTCTTGGCAGTCTTAACTAATGTACAGTGTGTTATCAGTTATAAAAAGTGCACATCAAACAACGAATGGTGTGTAATTATATAATGTACATTTGGTTTAAGCATGCTCAGGAAATCTAGATAAAAAAGCGACAACCTTGTTAGTAATAATCAAACGATACCTGTCTCTCTAGACCACTCTATTACTGGGAAAATAAACAAAATGATATATTTATCCAAGAAAAACTTTCTGAAAATCAGAAATCTCCTTTGATGTATTCTTTAACAACATAGTTTACAACTAATAAGGTAAAGTAAAGGTCCCTTTTCCACGCCTCTGGGCGTAAAGAGCATATAGGGCTAGACCTATATTTTTAAAGACCAATCGGCACAAGAGGGGTGATTTGGTCAGCATTGCACAGGCCGCCTTTACTTCCAAGGACTGCACCTGGTACCCACTCAAGTCTGGGTCTATCTGGGAGCCAAGTAATTTTTGGAAAAAAAAATTTTGCTCCGCCAGGGAGCGAACCCACGACCTTCTGATCCGCAGGCGAGCACATCTAATAAAGCAATTACATTCTATATTGACAGTAAACGTGTCAACTAGTTCACTGCACAGACCTTCGAAAACTTCTGTATTACGATACAATTAAATGTTATTTGAAGTTAAAGTTTAACTTATCAAAGTAAAATCTACATTTTTTATCAAATTTTTATCTTCAGACCAGAAGAACCACCAAATCCTGTGTGAAAGCGCCTCCGAAGAAGAAACCAAAGAAGCAAAAAGAAATCGTTAAATCCACAGCGGAGAAACAGAAGGTCATCACCGAGAAACCACCCAAGAGCAAGAACAAGAAGGATGCTGAGAAGGTTGGTGACGTCATCAACACTGGAATCTTGAAAAAGGAAAAGGAGGTGACCTTTGTGAACCCAAAAACCAACGAGAAAGAAGCACTTATGCCCTGTGCAGGAGAAATGGAAATCGCCATTAAGATAGAGGTGCTTAAGTTTGGTTTACATCTCTTTATTTATTATTTACGTATGTCTTTGCCTTGGGAGTCGCCGTGGTCTAGCGGCTAGACTCTCGCGTGCGGATCGGAAAGTCGTGGGTTCGGTTCCTGACAAGAGTCCGATTTTTTTCCCCACAAATTTACCTTGACTTTCAGGTCCACCCAGCCTTGAATGGGTACCAAGTGCAGTCATGGGAAATAAAGGTGGCCGGCGTGATTCTGACCACATCACCCACTGTCTATAATATAAGCCTAGTCCTATATATCATATACGCCCGAAAGGCGTGAAAAAGTGTTTTCTACTTGACTTAAATGCCTTTTCCAGCATTTTTCCTGATGCTTAATTTGTGTTTTATTTTTACCGATGTCTCTTTTAAGGAAAGTCTAGGTGCCAAGTGTGTGACCATTTGAAAATTCATTCGTTCGTTCCTTCGTTCTTTTATATTCTTCTTCTTTTCTTTCTTCTTTTCTTCGCGGGTACTTCATCAAAGTGTTGGGGGGAGATGTAAGGGTTTTCTATGTACTTTTTCCGTTATGTTGTATAAGCTGGTCTTTATTTTATTAAGGCTGCTCATTCGTCATTCTCTCTGTATTGTAATGCATTCCCCATGAGTATAAAGTTATAGAATGTTTATATTAGAATATTCATACATTTTCACATTGAGATACCTATCATGTTAATTAATTATTTCAATTTTTTTTTTCTCTCATGCAATTCATTGTTTTTCTTTCATCCTACATTTATTATTAATTCTTTAATTCAATCATTTTTTGCATTCACTAATTCGACAACCTTTACTTATTTCATTTATTCGTTCAGCATTCATTATTTTATTCATATTTTTTTTTTCAGCCGTTTTTTTTTTTTTTTTCCGCGTTTCCAAGAATTGTATACTTTGGCTCTATAATTATAAAATATTTTAATTACAGGAGCAAGAGTCGGAGACAACAGCCTCAGACACATCAGCGTTCGAATACAGAAATGATGGCTATATTGAACTTGTTCTCAAGGTTATGGCCAGAATGTGTGACGGACAAAACAAGCATCTGCAGGTAAGTTTTGATGTGTCGAGTAGGTCAAGCATCGATGCACCAGTGTTTCTGCAGACCGTTTGAGGTTTGAGGTTTGAACACCGGATCAACATCATGGCACATGGGTGGAACCCATAAGTACTCCGTTCTTCTTGTAACTCAAGTCTGAATCCGAAAAAGCTCAGCACAGTGCACAGGCTCTGTAGCACTGGCGAGAATCCTGAAATACTTTGGGTAGATTTCTAACTCCAAATTTTGCCTGGGCTGCGCCGTTAGGCTACTTTTTTTTCGATTTTCAGCTGCCAATGGATTTTTTAAGTGCGCAACAATACACAAGGCGTCCGATCTCACTACCCAGAGACCAGGGCGAATGACGAAGTCTAAGACCCCGTGAAAAAAATCCCAGCACTTACCGGGTATTGAACGCTGAACCTCTAGCACTCGAAGCGAACACCATGCATCGAGACCACGCAGCACCCTCCTGCAGAACGGTGCTGTCGTAATTTGGAGGTGATAGGTTTGGTTACCCGCATGGCGATTAAAGACTCGATTTTGATGTTGTCTATTGTGTAATTCTATTTCTCACCTGCGTTATGTGAGTACCAACTAATACATATTTGTTTGTTTAGTTTGTTCAGTTAAGTTTAATTAATTTTAGAAAATATTATTTTGAATATAGTAAAAAAAAAAAAAAAACATTCGTTTGGGGTGCTGCTTTTCACATCAGCCACCGAGTGCCGTTTGGTCTATAAAAATATAGGTCTTGCTCTACGTGCCCAATACGCCTGAATGCATGGAAAGGGTGGGTCCTTTCCTTTTTTTTTTCCTAACACTTGTGCGTTAAAGATATCCACAGCTTTCGTGGATGACGTAATTTATAACTGAAAAGGGCAGTGTGAAACCGTATATTTTATTTCCTAGCTGTAAAATCCAACCAGTCACAATTCTACAAAGGATTGCTGTGTGTTGTTTAAATGTGTATACTCCATTGGCAGATAAAGGCAGAAGTAGACAGGTTTTTAAACCGTATACCACACTGGTTTTGTTTTTATTTCTCAGATTTCCCGTTCCTTACCAACTAAAGACTTAGACACTGATGTTTCCAAGAGGACAGCCGAGCTTATCTGGCAACTACGTCAAGCATGACTATAGAGATAGCCCCTGTCTCTAGAGTACTAGCATAGGCAGCAGAGCAAACAACTATACGTTCAGTAATTGTATTAGATTCCGTGAACACGCTTCCGAAGATACAAGTGGCGGTATGTGCTCTGAATGGGTAGAAAGCATTCGAAAATTGCACTTAACCTCCCTCACTTGGATCTACACACCTGGTCATGCTGAGGTAAAGGGTATTGAGCCAGCGGACCAACTGGCAGGCAATGCTACAACGCATTTGGCAAGAAGCAAGGACAGAGCAGATATCATCGACCCTGTACGGAATGAACTAGTAGATAATGACACATCTTTACCACTAATAAAAATTGCGTGACATGGGAGTAAAGTATGGTGAAGCACGTCAATGCCGCCTTTGAGGCCGAGATGGGGACATTATAACCAACCTTTCATAGGATCAATTAGTAGAAATACCTTTAAGTGGTTGCAGCACCGAAGGACTGGTCACGCATGGGAATGCCCAATGCGCAGGATTGTGATAACATAGCATAACATAACACTGATGCAAATCTATATCTTTTTCATGTCACTGTTGACACATAAGGAATTCACAAGTGATCTCCATTGCTACCAGTCTGCTGCTTTTCTGTCCACGGTTTCCAATGTCAGTTTACATTCCTTCATTTCCCGTTCTATTGTCCATCTCCTGATTTCCTTAGGTCGTCCACGTCTCCTTTTCCCATCTGCAGTCCACGGGAGAGCTGTTTTTGCCAGAGTGTCACGAGGCATTCTGCAAACATGTCCAAGCCATCTCCATCGTCTTACTTTGATAACATTTGCAACTGATGCACATTCGGTTTTCCACCTCAGTTCTTCATTTGTGATCTTGTTTGGCCAAAATACTGATGCAAATATGAATTTTTATTTAGTATTTGTGAGATTCTCATGTTTATATATTGTCGTTTAGTGTTTCGTGTGATTCATTATCATCAAGTGCCTTGCCGACAGGCGTGTGCGATCATGCCTCAAAACATACTGCGATCTCTAACAGCATCAATCAGTTCGCGTACTGACTGACCCCTTCCATGCCACGACAAGAGGCTGTCAAAAAATGTTCTCAAGATGTTTCTCTCGGTCTCTCTTTTCACAAACAATTTTAGTGGTCACTGCTGGTTCCTGTTTCAATGTTGAATGTTGAAAAAAGAATCGACATCATACCCAAAGGGGCAATCCCATAAGCGCTCCGTCCCCATCTTCAACAGCTAGCGAAAAGTTCTAAATCTGATGCCCCTAGTAACTGTCTGACAGTACATCCGTCTCGCCCTCGCCTTCCCCTGAGTTTTATACTCCTGTTTTAATCTTCGCATTATATGGCTAAAAATGATGACTTGTCTCCATCTGACGTTTGCGATGTATTTTCTTCTGGCACGAGTATGTATTTTTTTTTTTTTTTACCTCTGAGTTTACTCTTTTTGACTGCCAAGACACGTTTTGCTCTCTTCTGTAAAACAACATGCCTCAAGAAATTGTTTGGCGTGTTTATTAATTATACAGGATTCACATCCATTTGTTAAAACTCTATATAGCAGCATATTTTGTCTAACCTCCAAAGTTATGGATTTATTGCGTAAGAAGTTCTTTGTGTTATAAAATACAGTTTGTGTCTATTCTTCTCTGTTCTTTATCTATGTGACACATCTTCTATCTGATGTTATCCATGTGTCTAGATACTTACATTTCTGTACTTGTCCTAAAGTAACATCCTTGACTGTTATTTTACGTTTATGAACAATTCGTTTCTTTGATATCACCATTACTTCTGTCTTCCCATCATCCAAGCTGAGGCCTATTTTTACATCCAGGTCACCCCCTTGTTGGATGCAAATTTTCGTTATTTGAAGCCCCACCCTGGCCTTTGCCGCGGGCCCTCAGTATAGCCTGGCCACAAATGTGGCCATAACAGCTGAAAGGGGTTTTTGGGACCTCTCCACGGGTGATCTTCATACGCATGGTGGCACTTTGTGTCACCTGGTGTTTATCGCGTGTGTGATGTGCTGGTTTGGTACAACAAGCCAACAAGCAAGCAAGTATTCTTTCGCTTTCTCCCACTTCCGCATTTACCAGTTCCTTGTACAGGACTTTCTAGGTTTATTATATGTATATATTTTCTTAACTACTGTGACCTTGTATATATTTGATATCCATAAGGACTACTTGAGAGAGCAGCCAGACAATGTCAAGTCATTTGACATCATTGCTGAGGTGACTCGTTTCCTGAATGTCGTCTACTCGAACATCAACAGCAAAAACATAGAACTTGTAATACAGCTCTTCCAGACCATGAATGAATTCACAGCTGTAAGTTACTGTCTGTTTTTAATACTGTTTTAAGTGTGAGCCTTAGGCCCTTAGCTTTGGTTGGCATCTGGTCTAGAAGGAAAGCTCTTGCAGGCGGCCAGGTAAAACACGCCTCTTCAGACCTGGTAGCTTCTGTGGCATTGATGTGTTACCTTTTCTTCCAGGTTAGGAGTGGTCAACCTGCATGGGTAACACGTGACCTCAAAACTATAGTGCGTTTCAAAAATCTTGCCCTCAAACTTTAACATATAGCTGGAAAAACCTGTCCGGATCAACACGAATCTTTTCATGTGGCCTTAGATTTCTAATGTTCTTATAATGTTATAATTTACTGTTGCACAGTTGCACAGGCGCTGTTGCTTTTTTAAAGCGGCGAATATCTTTTATTTCTTTTCAAAACTAATAATGTATGTACTCATAAAAAAATAGAATATATAGTAAGTGACATAAGCATGGAGATTATTGGAAATGAATTCACATGTGCAGCTATGCGGGGTGAATTTTTTCAATAGCCTACCCCGTGTGCAATAAAAGAGATCACGAGATGATCACATAAGAGTGAAACACTTATTAAATATGAGAAATTTGATGCTCTGAAAAGCTTCCGTTACTCAATTAACTGTAAGCATACTGGTTGTTTGCTTTAAATCGTTTGTTTTTTTTTTTTTTTTTTTTTTTTTTTTTTTTTTTTTTTTTTTTACACACAGCAAATAAGGCAAACTGAAGACTAGATGTTTGTTTACATTAAAAATTGATATGATTATTAACAGACTGCATTCTAAATGTCAACAACTTACACCTCATGGTTAATGAGTTACAGATTTTAAAAATTGGCTACGACTTCTGCAACGGACTATACTACCTAAGCGTTGTGTTATGGAGATGATGAACTTTATTATCATGCAATATAACACTCGACTGGTAAGACGGAAACTTGCCAACAAAAACGTTACCCGTCGTAGACTTGTGGATAGAACCTCGCCTTACGTCCTAAAGGCCTAAAGATGGGTTCGAATCTACATGGTGGTGGGTTTTGAAAACAAAATGACATTGGCTTCCAGGTCGATTCAGCCAAAAATCAGTTTCAGGACATATCCTAGGAAGTAAAGGTAGTCGGTGTGATATTAGAATTAAAACACACACACACACACACACACACACACACACACACACACACACACACACACACAAAGACCCAGTATTATGATCTCAATATTGATCCAGGAGTCTTTACCTCCAGAGAAATTTTATAATACCATTTTCAACCCTTTACATAATCAATTAACTTACTTACTTACTTACTTACTTAGTCGCTCCTCTTCTACCTTGGGGTGTAGAGGTTTGCCAGAGAGATCGCCAGACGTCTCTATCAGCAGTTTTCTTTCTGGCTTTGTTCCATTCCAGTCCTCTGTCAGTCAGGGACTGTCGGATGTTGTCTTCCCAGCTCACCCTGGGTCGTCCCGGAGGTCTGGTTCCCTGGTTCTTAGCCTCCCATGCTTGCCATGGTGGCCGATTTTCTCCCATTCTGCACACATGTCCAAACCATCGTAACTGTGACTGATCCACTCGGGTTAGTAAGGGCTGGGTATCAAGATCTTGACGTATTGTCTGATTGCGGACTTTGTCCCTTCTTGTCACTTGGACCACCTTTCTCAGGTATCTCATTTCCGAGGCCTGCAGCTGGCTTCTGTGAGCTGTTGTCATTGCCCATGACTCACACCCATAGGTCAGGACTGGTACATAGGTAGAGCGGTAAACAGCCATTTTCGTCCTCTTGCCAATTTCTCTTTTGCTAAGAAACCCTCGGTTTATGGCCTGGAAGAGTCTCCCAGCAGCTGCTTTTCGTGTAGCCAGCTCAGTCTTAATGCCTCCATAATCAATTAAAGAAACATAATATCATGGAAACTATGTTTACGTATGGTTCTGTATCCTTAGCAGTTTACAAGGAACCAACAGAAGTGCCTTTAATGCTAAAGAAATGTTTTTAAAATTTATATTACAAAATTATTTTTAAAAAAGCACATAATATATCGAGGAGTCGCCGTGGCGAGCTGCTAGACACTCGCTTGCGGATCAGAAGACTTTTCTCAAGAATGACCTTGGCTCTCAGGTCGACCCAGCCTTGAGTGGGTACCGGGTGCAGTCCCGGGAAGTAAAGGTGGCCGGCGTGATGCTGATCACATCACCAGTCTTGTGCCGATGGGTCTATAAAATATAGGTCTAGCCCTATATGCCATATACGCTGAAAGGCGTGGGAAAAGGGATTCTTTACTTCATTTCACATAAAATATCAGATTTTTTAAAAGAGAAAAAAGCTGTATTATGTTCCCAACTGACTTAATTGTTATAACTGTGATAATTAATCCCAGTATTATTTTTATTAAATGAATATATTAGTAATTGTTTATAACGATTATTTCAAGCTGAAATGTTATAGAAAGATTCTCAGAATATCGTGCAAGATTGGCTAATAAACAGCATCCTGTCTCAGAAGCTGAAATATTTTGGTCATATCGAGCGCCACAACGGATTGAAAAAAATAACAGCAGAAGGCATGGTACCAGGAAGGAAGGGCAGGGGCCAACCAACACAAAGATGGGCACAGGATATAAGTGACTCCTTGAGTATGAAAGTACACGAGGCGGGAAAGCTGGCGAGAGACCGAGTTTCTTTCAGGCAGACCGTGATGAGAGCGACGTTCTGCAAAGGACCTGCTACATGATGATGATGTGTTTAATTAGTTGCCTTATATTAATTATTATTTTTATTACTTGAATATTTCATATCGATGTTTAACTAAGTTTTTAAATACAAATTATTAGTCCTAATTTGATGGTTAGTATTTCCTCTTGAGCCTAAGCGCAAAGGGCAGAGGTCATAGCTCTCCATATCTGGCGGTTCGTTGTCACCTCTATTAGGTCTAGGATACTCATTAGGCCCAATGGCTGACTGAGCATTCCCTGATGATGGCTCTACGCAGGGCCCCTCTTTGTCTTTCCCGTTTTCTTTTCCCTTCCAGTGTCCATATGAGGGCTTGATGGGGAAGTCGAGGCTTATCCGTTCTAAGTGCATAGCCGATATAGTTCCAGCGGTGCTTTATAATAAATTGATTACCTTATCTTGCTTGGTCTCGACTTTGTTTTTTTTTTTTTTTTTTTTTATTAAATACTAATTACTCTTAATATTATTTTTTCACGTTAATTCTCTTTTCTTTTTCAGTCTTTGGGAGCTCATTCTTGTGCTCATTTTTCCTTATTACCAACTGAAAAATCTTTGTCTTTTCTATTGCTTCACCTTGTTCAGCCTGAGATATCTATTTTTATAACTTTTTCGGGTCCCGGGTGCTGGTGCTTCTATAAAACAAGTTAGCTGCATGTACTTTATAAGACTCGACAGAGTCATCCTCAGCATTTGTTGACTGGTTTTAACCAGCAGGCAAATTTACAATTAGTAGTTTGCGTTCATCAGCGTCTATGGCTTTCGCTTCGCGAACGCGCTTCCTAATACCCGAGTACCAGGTTCGATTCAAGGTGCGGACGGTTTGCCTGATGTTGGTTTCGACAGTGGTACCGAGAGCTGATCGTTCAGTGGCAGTTTCAAACATCTGAACGTAAATTTGCCTTCAAAAGAAACCACAACAGTCAAAAAATGCTGGGGTTGATGCTGCAACGGCCTGTATATGATATGCAACTAAAATTTATATTTAGAGTTTGCTATCAATACCTTTATCGAAATCATTGCAAAGCAGGCCACTGCCAAATCACCCACAGTTGGAATCGAACCTGGTACCTAGCACCTAGGATGCGGGTTTACCACGTGTAAGCGACAGGACGCCGAAGCTGTTGTAGTGCCATTCTTCTTCTTGAAGTTTATGCCGTGTGGCGTTGGTAGTCATGTTCTATCCAAACATTCTATCTCGTGTACTTTCAGTCAAGACGATCCTCCATGCCATGATGTCAAACCGTCCAGCATCTGTTGCCTCGATCTTCCTCTGCATCTTCTCCTCTCCAACTTTCCTATCGTCACGATCAACTCCAGCTTTCTTCGTTCTGATCACAAGAACAAATAATGTAGATTTTTTCTTTCTGATGTGGGTAATTAGATCTCTTCGTGAGTAAATTTTTTTCAAAGCATCTTCATTGCTCTTTTTATCTGTCCATGGTATTCTCATTATTTGTCTATAAAACCACATCTTTGTAACTTCCAAATACGTTTTCACTAATTTACTAATTGTCCATGATTCAAATCGTATATCAATATAAGATTTATATAGCTTTTTTTTAAAAGAATTTCCTTTCTCGTCTCAACTAACGAAGAAAGACTGCATGAAATATTCTTCATTTAGTAAAATGCTGCCTTTGCTGGAGCTATTCGATATTTAACTTCCTTAATACATCTTCAATTTGATGTTATGAGGTCACCCAAGTACATAAACATTTCCATGATGAAATAACCATTATAATGTGAAGAATGTGCTAGCAATTATTAGTGGTAGCGACGCAATCTGTATCTTAAACTCAAACAGGGCAACCAGGAGAACAGAGTTGTGATCTACGACAATAAGATCATTGACTACATCAACTTTATCTTGAGATCTGGCGAGTTCTCAGATTGTTCTACACTGAAGGTATGTCCTTCATGGTTGACTGTCGTTGTTGTTTTAAAATGTCGTAGCAGACAAATGGAAATACATATAAACATGTTTATGGAATATTGTGCGTTTCTTCCTCTTCTTCTTCTTCTTTTTCTTCTTCTTCTTCTTTTCTTCTTCTTCTTCTTCTTCTTCTTCTTCTTCTTCTTCTTCTTCTTCTTCTTCTTCTTCTTCTTTTTCTTCCACTAACTCTGGTGCTACTGCTAATACTATTACTGCTGCCGCTGCTACTACTACTACTACTATTACTGTTGCTGCTGCTACTACTACTACTACTACTACTACTACTACTACTACTACTACTACTACTATTACTGCTGCTGTTGCTACTACTACTACTATTACTGCTGCTGCTGCTACTACTACTATTACTGCTGCTGCTGCTATATTACTACTAGTACTGCTGCTGCTACTACTACTATTACTGCTGCTGCTGCTATTACTACTATTACTGCTGCTACTACTACTACTATTACTACTGCTGCTGGTACTACTACTATTACTGCTGCTGCTTTTACTACTAGTACTGCTGCTGCTACTACTACTATTACTGCTGCTGCTACTACTACTACTATTACTGCTGCTGCTACTACTACTAATACCACCTCTACGTCTTCTTTTCATTTTATCGCTTTGGATGTCGAGAGATAAATAAGGCTCTGCTTCTTGCATTGTAACTCCTCGCAGTGCCATTCTCATACAGTAATGATCCATCTGTGCCTCGGTACTGTTCATTTGCTCCCAAAGGACCCTCACAACATCCAGCTTGTCATACATACTGTTTTTACAGTCTCTAGTTCATTTTCTCCAAAGATATCAATGCCATCTGCATAGCCAAGTATTCTTGTAGTTTCTCCTATGGTACTCTTCTTTCAAGGATCTATAGTCGCAACGATCACGTTTCGTTTGAATTTGTTATATTGTGAAGCTCACTGATCTACTTTCCGTTTTGTTCTACATCTTTCCATGATATCATTTCAGTTTCAGTTAGACGTGTTTGTATTTGTTATATTGTGAAGCTCACTGATCTACTTTCCGTTTTGTTCTATATCTTTCCATGATATCATTTCAGTTTCAGTTACACATGTTTGTATTTTTCAGAGTCTGGAGCTGAGAAAAAGTATCTCCAACCTTGTGATGAGCTTGATAGAAGAAAACGGCCCAGGAGCAACAGATGTGGCTTTGGTTAGTTATGTGATTCTGACTGTTTCCTCTTTAAATTTCACAAACCATATTGTGCCAGACTGACGCATTTGGGAGCTTTATGTAGTCATGTCATGGCCTTACACACCAAACGATTCAGTCATAATGAGGCTGCACGCAGATCTGTTCTGTTCATCTAGAAGTATCAAAATTCCGCGTATGGTTTCCGGGGCCCCATTGTGGAGAAAACAAGAATAGACCCACTGTTCCCCAACAAAAATGTCCTCAGTGCATCTGTTTGAGAGGCGAGAAACAAACAGTCTGCATACAAATATTCAGATCTGTAAAAAGGATGTGCACGCAACACTCAGGTTCTGAAGCAAGTCTACAGTCCAGAGGTGGATGAACAACTATAACTTTCCCTCGGAGTTTACAGCCATGAAGGCCAAGAAAAAGACGAAGAAGAAGAATTAATTAGATAACACAAAATGTATTTGAGTAGTCCTTCACAAGAGGAAATATCAAGATTACAATCGGACGTTTCGATTAAAATCTGCATCATTTATTAAAACTAAGATTATTTAGCTGCAGAAACGAAATAAACATGATCCTATACACAACGTGTGCACGCAACAAAGAACGATGGACCCAAACCCTAGAAAACGTTGGTATAGAAGCGCATAGAGCAGAGTAGTTGACTGGGAGCAAAAGATCTTTTAGCGTTTCATGATAGGGAAAATGCCCCAAAATTTACACTATGTGTGACGATGATGATGATGATGATTATGATGATGAGGTGATGATGATGTGATGACGATGATGTGGAGATGATTGCTTCTATTGCTATGTCACATTTTGGAGTTATCTTCTTCTTTGACTTAACGATTATGGTTACTGAATACTAGCCAATTCATTTCTGGAGCATCGTGAAACCTTTTCTAACTCTCTTCACTTGAAAATGTACATAATCAGGAAGTCAAGGATACGCTAGATAAGAAAGCAGTCCTGGAGCTCATGGCAAAGTGCTATGAACACCATCAGACAGACAAGACTAAAATCATGGAACTGAAAGCGCTGGAAGAAGCTATGGCAGACCCACTTGGATCCCAGGCAAAGCTAACATCCCATGGTAACCTTAAAAAGGGGAAGAAACTCCTAAAAGGTGTTATGGTAAGAGTTATATTTTTCTTCTCAGTTAATGGTTGGGTTTGAGTGAGTGAAGCTGGACCTCGCTAGGACAGAATGATGACCAATTAATACCTGGTGACTGAAAGAGTCACTTTTCGGATGATAATCACCCAGGTACAAATACCAAAGCCCCGCTCAGCTGTAAGACTGGCTCCAACGACGGTTGAGAATCAACCTGAAGTCAGGACAGTGCAGGGTTTATACTGAATGATTGGCTGAAAGGCTGGCATGTTTTACAACTTGCAGCCTTAATTGCACCGCTTCTAACATCCTTCCCTCTGTGCTCTGGAATCATATATTTTAATTCCGGGTTTCTGAACTTTACCTGACCTCTCCGGTCAACCCAGTCTAAACTGAGTGCTAGAAGATGTCTTGCAAACTGAAGGCGATCGGCTTGAGACTGATCACATCCCCTCCTCGTAACTTTGGATCAATAAAACTAATTGGCTGGCCCCCATTTACCCAGAATGGCTTAAGGCATGAAAATGGTTGCATTACGTTAATTATGTTTTTGTGTATGCAGCCTTTTTCCTCGTATGGATTCTATGGCCCCATTGTGGGTGAAAATAATATTCTCGCCCCCCCCCCCCCCCCCCCCCCCCCACAGCCCCACCTCCCAACAATTGAGTCGTAAAATTCGATTAAATATTGGTGTTTCCTTCGGAGTCGGAGAGACAAAGAATCAACAGTCTACGTACAGCCATATCTGTAATACGAATGTGCACGTAAAACTTCAGTTTTGGAGCAAGACGTATGCCCAGATGTGGACGAACAACCAGAAATTGCCACCGAAGTTTACAGATGCTGAAGAAGAAGAAGACACACACTTTAGAACACATTGTCAAAAAAAAAAAAATGAAACTAGATAACATCCTAATATTTGAACGCATATCGACTTTTTTCTTTAACCCGTAAACGACATCGTCTGTTGTATGAGGACAAAAAAGTGCATAGACATTTATTACGTGTTCTGCAGGCATAACTGTCCAAGTGGCTAGTGGTGCCTTCGGTATGACCACTGGCAGCATTACAATGGGAGGCGATGGCGGTAACACGAGCTTTCATATGGCTAGCATCGCAGGGCTATTCTGATGTTTGTGTATTCTAGACAAAGCAATAAGGTCTACTGTGTTCGTAAATTGTTGCTGTAATTGTTATTCGACATTTGCTTCGTTAATGTAAATTCCTGTAACCTATGGTGCCATTTCAATGGGTTGAAATGAATTCTGTCCGTATTCTATAGTCGTGGATTTCAAGCTGTATGATAGACATGGCCAATAAGACACCTTTTTTTTGGGGGGGTGCCTAGTTGACCATGTTCTTAGTGCACTTGTATTCAAGGCGAGGCGCAGATGCCGTCTGGAAGTGACAGGTTCAATTCCCGGCACAGTAACTATAGCTTTCGATTGTTATGTTGTCTAGTGTGTTCTTTTATCTTTCTACTTCTTTCTATGAGTGCCGATCGATACTCTTTCTGTTGCTTGATTAATTCATAATATTCTCATGTATGTGTGTTTAGTGATTCCCCGAGCATGACCCGGCGGGTCGAGCCGGGCTTTGTACGAAGACAGTGGTTTGAGTCATTGCAAAACTCCACTGTTCACGAAGCTACCTTTATCTTTGTTCCAGGGCATACGGGTGTTTTTGGCAATGAAAGAGCTGACAGATTCGCCAGGTCTGTCTCAATTACAGTGAACCGGCCCATGGATCATGCAGACATTGTCAATGGAGGATCGGGGGATTTTTGGAGCGAAACATCCACAACTTTGCTAACAGTACAAGAATTCAGACTAAAGATCTGCACAGCCATAAACGAGAAGCACACCATATGCACGAGAATCTTAACAAGAAACATAGAACTGGGACTATCAACCGCGGGACACTGGTGTATATGTTGAAGTGGGAAACTGAGCACCTATGGACATGTCCGGAGTGACGTGAAGATAACCCAAATCATAACTCCTAACGACATCGCCTCAAAAGCGGTATTAATGTGTTCAGATAATAAAATGTGTGTATGTTCGCTTCACCTTGTAGACCAGAATGAGCAGCTAGCACAGTGAGCCGATCTGAAGAATAAACCCATGGTAACTGCGGAGCAAGAGGAAGACCACACAAAATATGGAATAATAACATCAAAATGAGCCTAGGAGAAATGCAGACAAGTGCACCACGCATTAGAAAGTGCACAAAGAAGATTCTCATAACTCCCCATTCCCTCCACAATTTTTTGTATTGTCCGGAAAACAAAATCACGACAGCCAACAATTGATGAGGTCGGTTGTTGTATAGTCCTGTAGAGAATATACAGTCAACTTTATATATATATATATATATATATATATATATATATATATATATATATATATATATATATATATATATATATATATTGTGTGTGTGTGTGTGTTTGTCTGTCTGTCTGTCTGTTTGTTTGAAGTTTTGTTAATTATGTCTTTCAATAATATATATCACTCAGATAGCATCACTGATTATTTATTCCTTTCGTATTGTTAATGCAGTGTTTGTGTATACATAGCTGTCCCTCCTGATAGAAAGTTTAAAGTGCAGAAGTTGACTTTGCTACCACAGTAACACAATTTTCATTGACTTCAGCAGACAAAACAGAAGGAAGAATTCGGTGAACAGTACATGGATGTGGGCTTCAGTTTGTATCTGATCTTGGCACGAATGTGGGACATTGATGCCAAGCTGCTGGAATATCGTAAGTGAATATACAATTCGTAAACAGTGTGTACAATATATCTTTTTTCTATGAAGATGATTTCGATCGGTTTGTCCCTTCATGATGGATACCTAAAGGTTTATCATACTAGCCTAAGGTTTAAGAATTCTCAATCTGGACGGAAGACCAAAAGCCAGATTCCAGATCGCCTGTTCAACCTTATAGTTAGGGCACTCATAACTGCTACACTTGACAGGTGTAACATTCAGTCCTATGTTAAGATAAGCTTATTCTTCATACAGCCAGTCTGCACGTGTGGAAGTAAATTGTCACCATTCAGGGCGTTGGCAAGAAGTGTGACGGGAGTAGCAGACGGACCTAGCAAGCCAGCAGTGGTGGAACTGATTGCTACGACACAAGAAATATTAAATACATAAAGGACAGAACAAATGTTTTACCCAAGCCAACCTAGAAGCGCAAGACAAATACAGAAGACTACGACACTCAAAAAACTTACAATTGAAATGTGATTCGTACGACGAGTTTTCAATAAAACAATAGGAGCAAGTATCAGAAACGATTAAATCAGGAGGAAAATCGGAGTATCCGCTCTGAATTTCATTAGAGTGCAACAAGTGAAATTGTTTGGCCATGTAATGCGGATGTCAGCAGACAATATACCAAAGCAAGCCATGATGCTATTACCAGGTAGGCGAAGAAGAGACCGACCATGTAAGCGACGAACAGAGGGAATTACAGAGTCCCTTGGAATCCCCTGAAGGGTTCTTTCCCGTAGATTATACTTCGCCTCGACACCTGAAGATTGAAGAGGATCAAGGTGAGATGAGGTGATGAAAGTATGATTGTCCATCTCTATACATAAATCATGTATAAACCTATTATTTTTCTCTTTTTTGCAATGAAAATATTTAAAAATTGTGAAAATATAGGGGTGACTGCAGTCAAACTAATAAAAGGAATTCCAGAGAAATTTGACTAAAATGCTCAACAAAATTGGGAAGCAGAAAAACGAGCACAAAACAACACAACGTAAC